ACTCTGACAACTAACCTGGTCTGTGCTCTGCGTAAAGGACAGATATAGAAATCCGTGTAAGGATATGGATACGTTGCAGTGAAGTTGTTCCTATCTTTAGGTTACGCCTGTTTGCTGTGCAACACCTCATGAGTCACAACTCCTAAAGATAAGAGGTGTTTTCATGACGTCTGTGTGGCTGTCAGTTGTGTTGACATGTCTTAGTTAGTCTTAGACATCACCAACTGTGATTGTGGTGTCTGGGAGCAGCATGTCTCTACACTGGGTTGGTGGTAAGTGGTGAGTGACAGTAAGAGGACAGTATTGGCTGAATGGGATGGACAGCCGCCAGGTAGCCAGTTAATGGGTGATAGGAGGGAGGGGATGTGAAAATTAAGGCTACCTACTTCTGTCCTGTCATAACCACAGACATGTATCTGGTATTGGGTTGCTTTGAAATGCTGTGGCTGCCATTATAGCAGTAAATGGAAATCTAGAGTTTTGCAATGCATTAACGCACTAAAGCTCACTGTGAACAGTTGATTTGGCACTCCTTGATATTTTCCCATATGGCTGTACTAGTACGTAAAGATGGATATTGACATCTGATAGCCAGCAGTCATTCCTTATCCCAGATGACTTTGTAAGATGACAGGTTTACAAATATTTATACCATTTAAGTACTCTGACATTTGTGTCATATCAGATGTTGTGTAAATATAAACTGCCAACTGTTCACGTCGACCAGACCTCGAAATCACCCGCTTAGTGTCATGAGTGCTGGATACAAGCAGTAAACATATGGGACCCACCAGTTTAAGTATAGTGTGTCACATTTGCTAAAAACAGGTTAAGTGAAAATTTTCTTACTTATCTCATCAGTGGAAATACATTTGCTGTTGTGTATAAATGACACAAACAGCATTAAAAGACAAAGGTAAATAAAGACAGGTCAAGAAATATCTACGTTAATTTATTAGTGGTGGACTTAAAATTGATGAATGGAAATCAGAACCATTTGTTCATTTTTTGGGGATTAATACGATCTGATGACAGGACAAAACTGTCTGCAATTATTACTAAATAATATCAAATAGATAAAATGATGGCTATAATTTAAGATTTCAGTGTATAGCTGGTTTGTATCTTCAAATCATCTTTGGCGTCAGATATTAGTCCTATAGGTTTGTATTGGACGCCAGTGCTTCCAACAAATTGGAGACACATTGATCTAAGTGACAAACATTTGACCTCAACCGGTTGTCATATTGGCAAAAACCAGGAAAATAAACCCTAGACTGAAAATAATGAGAATAATCCTTTAAGTCAGGTCCAGCGCTCTCTAGGCTAAATTCCTAAGCCAAGTCAGGTTTTTACATTCTTCCCCTCTGTTCTTACCAGATGCTTTGAACAGAACTGAGCCCTCGTCTGTATGTACCACTTATGTAATGAAAGAATTACACAGTACCGCTGGGTTTGCCTCGCAGACTTTGTCTTAATGTAAGCCCTCGGACATGCAGCTGGAATGTCAGTTTGTTGACATGAGATCGGTGCTCGTGGGAGCAGTTGTTTTGAATATCTGTAGCATATTGATATCGATTATTGCTGTGTGCATGAGTGCACGCGGAGCATATTTTCTCACTCCACTCCACCCCAGCCAGCTTTATTAGAGCAGATGAGTAGAGAATGGAGCGTGGTGACATACTGCTGGGCTAATGTTGTGACTCAGTGTGTTCCTTATGGTTATTATTTGTCTCATAGTATTTGAGGTGGTCACATCCCATTTATGATAACCTGGATAAGCTTGTGTCTTAATCCTGAGGCACCACACTTTCATTGCAGTATGTAAACAGCAAAGTATGTAAACATCTTAACAAATTTTTATGTTGTGTTATTTTGACTAGAGTAACTGCAAAAATAATAGGGATCGTGAGAGGCACACACATTCCTCGACAGTGTCATACACTAGGTTGTAAACTTGTGTCTTGGATGCCGTGTGCATGTCTCTACAGTAGCTGTTCACTTTCTGTTCTCCGCTCTGATGTAAGACCATCTGTTTACAGCAGAGCCCTTCCCTTTTCATGGAACAGCAATCAAATCTCTCACTTTACATGTAACTGGTGAGTTAGGAGCAAACCCTAAACCACTGGTTCTCAGTCCCATCTGTGTTTGTCGTGGGTTATGTGTGGCGCTCAGCGATCACTGCATTATCAGGTAGAAGTTTCCAAGGCCTCATTCCAGCCCCTTCCTCCTCAGATTATCAGTTTAACCCTATTTAATGATCAGCGCTTTCTCTCCTTCAACCTTCCATTCATCCGCTCTTTGTTATGTTCTTTCCTCCAACACACCCTTCCTGTCTAGGGGAAGCTGACTATTGCTAATGTTATTAAGGAAAAGCCTTCCTCCTGACAGCTATAAATCACTGCTACTGGACCTGCTGGTTTAGTATGCTTCCATCATCAACCATATTCTCCATGTTTGTGGTTGATAGCAGAGCCTACACCTGCGAGTGTCCATTCAGCAGAGCAGACTTAGTGCTTCAAAGTTTTTTTTCGTTTTCATTGTTTGGCCAATAAACCTGTCTAACCAGGCATTGTCTGTAGATTAACACAGACTGCACCAAAAAGAAAGTCAGTTGAATCAGTACCGCAGATGTTAAGAGCTCCTGTTTTACTGAATAATAAATGGCCTGAGGTTATCAATGAGCCTCTAAAAGGCTCATTCTGCCTTGAGCAGCCTGCCATAAGTCTTTTTTTTTTTTTTAGCTACTGTATAATGGCGCCTCTCTTCAACATGTTCCAGCAAAGGCAATGTTCCTCTTCTATGCTGATCAGGTGAGGGTGTGTTCTGGGAGTGGTGAGGTTGCGTAACACACACACCCACACAGAATAGGAATTTTTATCACCAGAATTTTATAAGGCCAGGTTTTCAGATTTTTTGGGGCCTTTTGTCAACAGTTATAACAGAGTACAGCGACAGGTAGAAGAGAGAAGGATGACATAATACCAAGGTCTCCAGCTGGAACTGAACCAAAGGTGGAACAAATACAGGGTGCACTCAAAGTCTCAAAGACTCTTATGGTCTCAGTACATACAAACTAGGTTATCTGAATAAGTTAAAGTCAACAGTCTTTATACCTGTTCTGAATGGCCTCATTAGAAGCAAGGCCTAAAAGCCTGCTGTAATGAAGGGGAGGCAATAAGTGCCCTAGTAGCCAAATGGTTACTGCACATGCCACATACCTGCAACTGTGTCCAACAATTTCTTTCCCGAAACTGACAGTCCGCTAAGCTAATCCATTTTATGCAGCAGGTGGCTAGGTGTGCAGTGCTGAGAAATTTGGAATATGGGCTCCCATATATTATTGATTATTGTGTCTTCCTCCTCACTATAACAATATAACAACTATAACAAATTCATTGTGGCCATTCGGGACAGTGATAAACACGGTCAGGCAGCATGTTGTTCGAACTAGTTCTTCTCAGATAAACCCTGCCCTTAGCCAATCTAACACACATTTTATTTGAAACATACTGAGGCCTCTAACCCTGTAAATAAGGTTATTTCAGAATAATACATTTGTTACTTCTGTACCATAACGCCTGCTGCTGCTTTTAGAATTATCTGTTTATAGATGTGAATGCTTTTATATCTGGCTAGACCCATGCATTAGATGGTATTGATCTTTGCTGTATACACAGTAGTATCAATATGTTTTTATAGTTCAGTCTCTCTTTAGCTTATTCTTTGTTTGAATTAGCTGCCCTGTGTAATTGCCCCAAAGAACAGTAGACTAGTGTAGTATGTAGCTACTTTTTCTGCATTTTGAACCGTCAGTCTGATTTGAACCAGGGGTTTTGTTCATTGTTGTCAGTGGAAGGAGGACTCAGAAGTGTGTGTATTTCAGGCTAAGTGGTGTGACCCTGCGATGTCAATTTGAAAAGTGTGAGAGCTGCAAATCCTTGAGAAGAGGATGAACTTGATTGGAAAAGCTTTTTCTCAGATGCAGGGAGCAGCGCTGAATGCCATTCTCATGTTCTCTGTTTTATTTTGTCCTGTCAGGAAAGGCTTAGCTGATGAATGACACCCTGCGCTGCTGTTCTTTTTTTCCTCCCTCTGTTTTTATGCTCCCTCCATCAAAATTTCTCGCCGTCACACTCCACCTCAAAATGTTGTTTCTACGTCATTGTCTCTTGCAGTCTTTTTTGCCGTACTCTTGTATCTCTGCTCCCACATACACAAAGAAAACAAGGATAGCATTCATGGAGCGTTAAGAATGAGAGCTCTGATCTTCAGTCGCTGCTCATATAAACATTGCTGGTGAACTGCTCTCATAGTCTAGGAACCTGGGCAATTACAGAGGCAGGTGTATCATATTTCTCTGTCCACCCCTTAGGCAACATCTGAGGACTGAAGGATTTTCTGTTGTTTTTTCCTATATAGGCCAGGGTTATCAGTTCATGCGCAGGCGTGCCTCTGTGAGCTCTGTGTGGTTTTCAGACAGTATGTCCTCTGTACCAGCCTCATTAAAAGAGGCATGGTTCAGTAGACAGCAAACACACTCTCAATCACCCAAGCACCCATCTCTGTCTTTGTCCCCGCTCTGGTCCTATGTCCATTAACTCATCCCTTCACCTTTCATTATGCATCTTACCACTGCTGTCTGCTGTAGCTCAGCAGCATGCACCTCAATTAAGAACACTGCTGTTAATAGTGATGACATAGATCAACCAACTACTGTACTTTATTATTCATAATAATGTGTTACTGGTCAGTTAAACAGCATTTTGACCAGTAGACATTTTAGCTTTGCATAGCAATAAAATCTAAAATATCTACCAAACTTAGCTCAGGGTCAGATTGTTAGCTGTCACATACAGATTTTGAATGTCAAGTGAGAGCTGCTTTTGGTGTCTCCCAAGCTAGTGTGTTACATAACTGAGATCCAATTTGATTCCTCTGCATTCATTAATAATCTCCCCGTCTCTCCTCTCCCTCCCTGCTGCCTCCAGGTGCAGCAGAAACAAAGTGTCAGTGGTGAAGAGGAGGGGAATGATTCAGAAACTCCGGTCCGTGAGACTGACAGTCAGTACGGGACCTGGGAGACAGGACTGCGCACTGATGACAGGTAAACATGCACTGTTTCCGCTCTCCAGATGTGTTCAGTGTGTTTACATGCATACAACACATGTCAGTGTCCCCAAACAGTCCAGAGTTGTCAACTGCATGCAAACACAACTACCTCACCAGCCTCACCAGCAGCACCAGTGCTAAAACAGCACAAGAAAGCTGTTTTTTACCCAGCACAGATTATTGTTTCTACACACAATAACTGAAGGCATGCAGCTACAGAGGAGCTGGAACTAGCAAAGATTTAAAGATGGAGGATGGATTCATACTCAATGAAAAGATTACATTGGCTAAAATCCTATAAGATTCCATTGTCTGCTTAAAGAGACAGCATAGATAAAATGTTTAATGTTATACGCCATTAGCAACAAGCTTTAATATGAGGTCTTATATGCACTTTTTTTTTATTTATTCGAAGCCCAGTGACACAAGAGATTTACCAAATACTGCATGCCATTTTTTTGATTAACATAGTATTAAAAACCACTGTATTGTGTAGTGTTTAAAGGAAACCAAGAAGGTGCTACTGCCTTCATTGCGCATAAATGATTATGGATCAGATTTGAGATTCTGACCATCTCTCTTGTGGAGGCTCTGATAAAGAACTGTGTACACAAGACTGATGAAAACACCAATATTATTTTATCTTTTAGAAACAATTCCCCGGGAAAGACTTAATCCAAACATGAATTAATCCTAATAAGCATTGTTTGTAGCCACAGTCTTACAATGGTAAAACCTGTACACCACAGAAAAGCATTGCTGTAGCAGGATAAATTGATACATTATTTGTCAGATTCAGTCTGCTCGGGGATAATAAATAAAAAAGGTCAAATAACTCAGCACCATCCTGTAACACAGACTGATTGCTCCTGTCCTCCTCCTCCTTTGTGTGCAATCTGTTACTGACCTCCTGTGGCCAGAGAATAACAACACAACATTAACCAGCATTTATAAGAATGGATAGTAATTCAAACTTGTGAAAAAATAAGTTAAATTGTTAGAGATATATTTTTATATGAATAATTGTTTTTATGCCTGTCATGGTGACAGGGGAGGCTTGCAGTCTGTTTTTAGGCGCATCATGTAAATCAAAGCTTTCCACAGTGTTGACAGGAACAAAAGTATGACTCAGACTATTTGATTGTAACTGTGGTTACAGCAACCACACAGTTGTTTTCAGAAGTTTTTCCTAACTTTTTTTTAACCCATTTCAGCCTCACTCCTGCCACTCCCAGCTCAGAGAGCAACATCAGCCCTTCACCAAGGAAGAAAACTCCCCCACACACGCCAGGTGATCGTGCCTCACAGTTTGAAACTGACACTCTGGACGGCCTCGTTTCCCCATCCTCATCTGACAGCCAGCCACTCTCTTTCCCTGATGTAAGTGTCACCTGAGTGACAGCTGAGTCAACCACAGCTCTGGTCTTTTTATGTCACATGTGCCGGTCCGTCATGTCTGACTGTGTGATTTTGTTTTTATCCGTTTGGGTCTTTTCTTTTTTTATTTATTTATTTATTTTTATTTATTTTTTCAGGCTTTTTGTGCCTTTATTGACAGTGCAGTAGAGAGAGACAGGAAATGGGGAGGCAGAGAGAGGAGGAATGACATGCAGCTAAGGGCTGTCCGATGCGGGACTCGAACCGGGGCCAACTGCAGCGAGGACTGTAGCCTCTACACATGGGGCGGATGCTCATCCAACTGTTTGACACTTATGTTCTCGATGAGACTTGCCTGTTTACATCTTGGCTCATATATTTTCTTTCTGTGTCTTGACATCCAGGCTCCGACCACTCTGTTAGACACCAGCGCTCTCCGCTCCAGAGCCCAGCTGGGGAAGAAACGAGCGCCACGGTCACGACCCAGCAGAGCCGCCCGTCAGAGTGCTGCGCTGCTAGAGGGAGAGGGAGGAACCACTGAGGACTGGCTTTACCGAGACTCCACAGGTTAGCACTTCCCCTAGAGAGCTGTAATCTTTGTGTTAATCTTCGTCTTTGCACCAAACAAAACCAGCTAAAATCTTGATACGATGCTCTTCCATCAGTTTACACTGAACAGGTGGTGAAATTGATGCACTCAGAAATTTAATTTTGTAGTTGAATTGCAGTTTTAGTGGAAAACCGAATGTCTCACTGCAACCCACCTCATCCCCATTTTTAACTGACAACTACATGCTGACATGTACGAATAATTTGTGTTTTCCCCATGACAGAGGCAAAGGTTGAGAGTAAAGACGATGACTCAGACTCTGAGGAGCAGGCCAGAGGAGCTGACGCCCATCCTGCTGTTGCCTCCCCACCACAGAGGGTCGCCCTGTTCCCTGGGATGGACCCTTCAGCTTTAAAGGTGAGCCTTTTCCTGAGTAGAAAAACGAATCTACTGAAAGTATTCTTGTGTTAACCAATGGAATCTGACTCTGACATTAAAGCACACTCCTTTCATGTATTTTCTACTGAAACTGATGTGTTTTTATTTTCAACTCCCCTGAAAGTTCTGAAATGGCTCTTCCTTGTTCTCAGGCCCAGCTGAAAAAGAGGGGTGACTCTGACAATCAAACTGATGGACCTACTCCCTCTCCCTCCCAGCTTTCTCGCTCGCCTAAGTCCCCCTTCCTTCCCCGGGCAGCCCGTGTACTGCCCCCACCTGGTGGCAAAGAAAATGGGTAAGAGACACCATTTGCATAGAGGATGCTTTTTCAGGAGACAAGGATTGCTTCTTAGCTCTTTGTTTTCTCACATTAACTTTCTCATATCTCTTTAGTGAGGAGGACTCACCCCAGTGGTTGAAAGAGCTGAAGTCCAAGAAGCGTTTGAGTCAATATGAAAGTGAGAGCTAAGGAAATAATGAGGTGAGATAGTTTTTAGTGTTCTCTGTGTGTCTTTTCAAAACACATCAAAAAGCTCATAATTATCTTTGCCAACTGTTTTCTTCTCATTCTCTCCGCAAGGTTGCCTTAACAGATGAATCTATATGAAACAGAAGCCTTAACGTTTGACCCAGAGAGCAGGAGAGGTGAATCTACAGCTGCTGATGTTTTTTTTTT